GTGCTTAATAGAAGTTAACTGACCATAGGCTACATCTTCTGGCCTGTGGCCTTCTTTCTGGGCCAGATGCTATTGGTTGGTCAAATCGCCTCCACGAACCCAGTGGTGGGTTTTAGGACAAGCAGTTGGAATGTTTAGCAGCGTTCCATAACATCAGAGAGAAGGACAGGGTGACCAGATGTCCTAACCCCAAAGGAGGACAAGGCACTCCAAATGTAGGACATCCAAGCACAAATGGAGGCTGTTACCAAGTAAAAACTTAAAACAGTCATATAACTGTATGTTCATAGAATCATAGAGTTGGAAGAGACTACAAGGGCCATCCAGTCCAATGCCATTCTGCCACGCAGGAACTCAAAATCAAAGCATCCCCGATAGATGGCCTTCCAGCCTCTGTTTAAAGACCTCCAAAAAAGGAGACTCCATCACACTCCCAACTTCATAGTCATGCTTGAAATGAAGGGCATTTTTAGAATTCCTCCTGGACAGAAGACTGAAATGTAGGACATGTCCTGGGAAAAAAGGACATCTGGTCACTCTGGAGAAGAAGAGGTGGAGGGTGTATGTGAAGGCAGCTGCACTCAGTGTGATGCATACAGGCTTAGATCCCACACAGGGATTACGTAGCTTAAATCTCATGAGTTAGCAATAGCAATAGCAGCTTCATTTATATGTATCTTCATACTGCATTGAGCAGTCTCTAAGCGGTTTATAATGTGTAAACCAGAGGTAGGCAGCCTTTCCCCTTTAAGGGCCGAGGGACTTCAGCTCCCAGAATCCCAGGAGCTATTGGCCAACATGGGACTATTGGCCAACATGGCTGAGGCTTCTGAGAGCTGAAGTCCCTTGGCCCTTAAAGGGGAAAGGTTGCCTACCCCTGGTGTAAACTAATTGACCCCAACAAGCTGGGTACTCATTTTAGCAACCTTGAAAGGATGCCAGGCTGAGTCAACCCTGAGCCCCTGGCTGGGATTGAACTCACAACCTTGTGGTTTATGAGTAAGTGAGTGGCTGCAGTACTGGCATTTAATCACTGTGCTACCAGGGCTCCTACACATGGATTGTGTTACACATGGATTGTGATACATAAGCTTTGTGTTCCATGGCAGCGTTGTGCAACTGAATGTGCAATTGTATGGACATGCATTTCTTCATCCACATTGGCAGTGAATGGGCAATTCCACTTACCCTCAGTTCAGTCTACAAAAGCCAGCATGTTGCAACAATTTGGGCATTGGATTAGGATTCTGGGGCTGCATCTACACTGAAGAATTTATGTAGTTTGATGCTATTTTAACTGCCATGGTTCCATGCTGTGGAATTCTGGGATTTGTAATTTTGTGAGCTATTTAGCCTTCCCTGTCGGACAGCACTGGTGACACAAGAGACTACAAATCCCAGGATTCCATAGCATAGAGCCATGGCAATTTGGGTATTGTGAGATTGCATCAATTCTGCAGTGTGACAGTAGTCTGGGAGACCAGAGTTCAAATCTCTGCTCAGCCATGAAAACCTACTGTGTGCCCTTGAGGGACTGGGGATGTTTAGTCTGAAGAAGAGAAGACAGAGAAATGCCATGATAGCCGCCTTGAAATATCTCTTAGCCTCAGAGGGAGGCAACTCCCTCTGAACAAATCTTTCCAAGAAAATCCTAAAACCGAATTGACATGAATCAGAGATGACTTGAAGTCAAGTAACAATGCAACGACCTTGAACTGAATATAGATGTTCTGCATTGGAGAGAAATTTCAGACTTAACATCATTGAACTGCAACCTATTTTTGACAATAATGCTACCCTCTGAAAGGCTCTTGATGGCAGCAACCCTTTACTTGCTTACAGTCAGGCTCCCAGTCTCAAATAGTTACTCACTTACAGAAGGACACACAACACATATAGGGAGATGGGTATATTGCCACAAACCCAGATGCCAACTCTGCCCACACATCTACTCCGGAAGTGTCATCACAGAGCCTAAACGCATAACCCACAACATTAGAGGCACTTGCTCATCCTCTAATGTGATATATGCCATCCTGTGTCAACAATGCCCTTCAACACTCTACATTGGGCAAGCAGGCCAGTCAGTCTCTGTGCTAGAGGATAAATGAGCATAAACCAGACATTAGGAATGGGAATACACAAGAACCAGTGGCAGCATTCCTGGACATTCTGTCTCTGACTTCAGGACAGCAGTCCTTGAACAAAGAAGCTACAAAAGAAGATTGGAAAGAGAAGCAGCTGAATTAGTATATATTCACAAACTCCAGTCCATCAACAGTGGGTCGAATAGAGACAATGGCTTTCTGGCACACTACATTTGTTATAACACTGCTCTTAGCCAGTTTATCACATCTCTTTTCTGGTTCCCAGTCTGTATAGACCAGCCTCCAAAACTCCCTCCACCATTCATAGGGTCATTCACCTACCTGGGCCTTAGATCTATAAAGGTCCATCCTCAGCACCAATTCACTCCATGCATCTAAGGAAGTAGACCAAGTCTACAAAGGCTTATGTTACAATTTCTGTTGCACACTT